CCGATATGGCATGTCATTTCAGCATTGCTCACGAATTTGGATAACATGGATAACCTTTCTTGACAAGCAACTCCGTACTCTTCCCATTTGGCCCACCCGAAAGTTCATTGATGACCATATGCCAGCTTGTTTTAAGCAAAGTTTTCCACAAACGAGGGTGATCATTGACTGCACTGAGCTTTTAATCGAGATGCCATCTTCCTGCCGGAGTCAGTCAGCAACATTTTCTACCTGTAAATGGTGTAAATGGTGGCAGCGACCTCAAATCTTTTGTCCATCTCTTTTCTGCATGAGCATACTGTGTTGCTTGGTCTGCATCCTTTGACGAGCAAGGTATGTCTTCCATTTTATACTCTCTAGTTTATTTTATTTAAAAATTTATATACAATTATACTATTTCACTTATTTACAAATTTATTAACTAAAAATTTGAGCCAGAAATATTAGACTAGGTTTAAAATGAAATTACTATAAAGACTCTATAAAGTGGCTTTAAATGCTTAACTAATTTTTGAATTTAAACAGCTAACTAAATTTTAAATTTTGTTCAACAATAAAATTATTGTGAACTTTATACTGCTTTATCGATATACGGACAATACGGACTAAGACAATTATTATTTTCTTAAAAATATATATATTTTAGTGCTATTATTAATATTTACAACCTACAACCTACTTGTTACGCGAAGACAGGGACCAAAACAGACCCAAAAGGAATGCAAAACCAAAGTAAACAGCAGTAATATCAAGTGACAGTACTTTCTGAATGCAGTTTTTGAAAAATATCTACACTTTAGCGCAAGAAGCTAGTACATTTTCGCGCCAAAACAGAGGCCATGTTTTAAAGAGCAGCAGATAAAATTTTCATCGCAATGTGTCAATTTCAACAAACAAAAAGACGATGCAGAAACGCTTATAAATACAACTAATAAGCGATCAGGACAGGTAAACTACAGATCTACAGCTGCAAGGCAAAAGATTTTACTTACAGTTATTCAATACGGCTACTCACCTCTTGACTAAAAGAAACACAAGATTCGAAGCATATTTTCTTCGAATAGCGCTCATCCCTTTGGCCGCTTTAAATTCGTTTTTCTTCACAACGGCGACTCCGATTTCCTCACCGTTTCTACAAAATGTAGACAGAGAGTGCCCTGTCCTAAAAGCATGATTAAGTTTTCATCTCGCGAAAGAAAACGTCGTTAAAACCAGTAAATTCATCTTCCAAGCAAAATGAACACCTCACGGCCGCCATTTCACTTCGAAGCAAACACATACCCAACTACCAGCATGCATTGCGGCCCTAAGTCCTAAAAGGTGAAAGGCCCATACCCTTTAAATAATTCTTTAATCTTAAAATATATTTATCGCTATATACACTTCATGTTTCTCACGCTTTTTCCGAAGCGATCTTCAGGCGATTGAACTTCAATCGCCTAGTTTATATATATATATATATATATATATATATATATATATATATATATATATATATATATATATATATATATATATATATATATATATATATATAATTATAATTATAATTATTTTAAAATTTTATTAATCGCTACACAGTGTTTCACGCTTTCAAAGTGATCTTCAGGTGATATTACTCTAAATAGTTTGCTTGCGCAATTAATTCAACAAATAGTTCTGTTCGTTTGTTCAACGTTCTATCTTTGTGCGATTTCATTAAATAAAATTAATTAGTTCTCCTCTAAGTAAAGGTTGCAAGAATTTGCACGTGCCGCATAGGGTGAAGCATGCGCAAAACCGACCACTTTATAGCATACGGTCGGTTACTTTGTTTTAGCTTCCATGCGTACTTAGAAATGTTCGGTGTCGTTTAAATAGCGAGGTGAGTTGATGGATTTCTTGTGGTTGGCGTATTTTGCTTTAAACGTCCCTGCTGTCATACCAATATACTCTTTTGTTTCACCGACGTCTGTTGTTGTAATCTCAGCGTTATAAACAGGTGCAAATTCTTGCAACCTTTGCTTAGAGGAGAAGTTTTATTTAATGAAACCGCACAAAGACAGAGCGTTGAACAAACGAACAGAACTATTTTCAAAATGCCGCCACAGAAACTCATTTAGCGCGCAATTTTAAACGCACGCGCGCATGATGCAATCGCGGCAGCGGACCGTTGAATTAATTGCGCAAGCAAACTATTTAGAGTAGTATCGCCTGAAGATCGATTTGAAAGCATGAAAAACTGTGTAGCGATTAATAAAATTTTAAAATTTTAAGATTAAAATAATAATATAATTTGCTGCATGTATCAATTAAATTTGTAATTGAGCACTCTTTTTGTACTACGGACAAGGATTAATTATTGTATATATATGTATATATAGTCACACTTTCCAATATCTGATTGTTTATTTTCAGGACCAGAAAAAGAAGTGGTTTCAATATACAATGATAAGTTCACCACGCCACCAAGCAGACCTCAATATTTCATCGAAGTGTATCGCTGTGTTAACGTTGAGCTGGGCGAATGCTCTAATGGTCCTAATGCCTATCCCGTGCCAAAGAAAGTGGAAGAAATTGAGATATTGGTTCCGGACATAACAAACAAAGTTCGAGATCCTAGTAGTAAAAAGAATTTTTATAAATATGTGGTTTATAATCACACCGATTGTAAATGTGGGAATTTAAAATACAGGACCAGAAAATTGTATAAAATCATAACAAATAACAAAGGTTAGTCAAACTTACCACATGTTTTGTCATTAAATTTTTTTTTAGAAAATATATTTCTCTTATAATTTTATGGTTTCTCTTATAATTTCATAAACGAATCCGCATAAAGCATGTTTATATAGGTTGATGGCAACAGTGGCGTAACGTTATATCACGGGGCCCCCGGTTCAAAATTTTCGAAGGCCCCCCCCCCCATAGTAGAAATGCAGAATGCACGAGTTGAGCGCCGTATATGCACGAGTTTTCCGGAAAATTTTTGAATCTAGACTCTCTGAAATGCCATTTCCCGGACTTTGGGGAGAGATTTTACAGAATTCTGATGGTCAGAAAACGACATTGTAACATATCGGAGGCCCTGGCCAATGTATTTGCTCTACGGACTGAGTCTGGGGGCCCCCATTTGGCCCATTGGAGTTGGGGGCCCCCGGGTTCTCCCGGTCTGAGCCCATACTAGTTACGCCACTGGATGGCAATATGATTAAGGGAACAATTGAACTCTCCTCTCAACATGCTACACTGAATTTCAAGGTTAGGATTAAACACAAACGTTGAGTTGAACATACGATACTGAATGCCAAGATCCTATAGGGTATTGTTAGTTGATGACCACCAAATTTGCCTATAGTGGAGATCTAACTTTAAATGTAGGTTGTGCTTGTTCGTTGTTGCACCTGAAGGGTTTTTCATCACGATCTTTAAGTCAGGTTTCCTCTCTAGCTCAAAAATACCATCCCACTTTGGTTGTAAGCCATGGTAGCGATACGAGGTGCATTACACAGCCCTCGATGCACCATGCAGCGTTTCATAGTTGCATCCTTCATAAATCAGTTGTTACCTGCATGGAAAGGTGATTATTAAACCGTATAATTTTAATCTGCGTGTATCTTTTTTGCAGTGTCAGAAGTTTAATTTAGTGCAAATTATTGTTGCATCCTTCGTAATTCAGTTCTCAGCTGCAAGAAAACGTGATTATAAAACTATAACTTTAGTTTATGTGAATTTGTTTTTTGCAGTTTCAGAAGCATATTTCAAAGCAGGATATTCGAACAACCCAGTCAATCTGGTACGTGTGTGTGACGTGTGCAACATTCCTCAACCAAGATATCTGCTCACGCCACGGCATGCAATAGTTACGCCGCCGTTTAAATATCTGGGGTACCAATTATGTTTGCCTGGCTGCATAGCGGTAAAGCAGTCCATATCTAATGTCGAAGTTATGTGGACGATCGGTAAATTGAAGTTCATCCCGCTAATGAATGATATTTTTTGCAAGGCTTATGATGGAATAAAGCTTTACAACGAATTCAAAAATACAGAAAATCTAGAAGGATTGTCAGAAGATCCAGCTAAACTCCCTTAATCAGGGTAAGAAACCAAGGGTAAAATTTATACTAGAAACGAATGATCTGTCTGAAAGAAAAGATAATTTGTCTGACAAATTAACTCGCAACAAACACACTGATCGCCCGTCAACTGACAAGCTAACTGTATTTGCGAAATCCATCAACTCAGTTAATCTTGCCTGCATAGTTCGTCTTGACGAATGATTCTCTTTTTCGCTTTTTTTATACGCAGGTAGATTATCAGACGAACTATGATGTTTTCTATTCCGAAGTTCGTTTGGACTTATCATTTAAAATAAGCTGAACTTCCAGGATAATTTATAAATCTAAACATTTGAAATACGTTTCTAGGTTGTGTGGGCGGGGGCTGGGAATTTATTAATAAGAGAATGGGACATATTAGCCAGATGACGTATTAGAGGAAATAGTGAACACAAGAGAGAAGCTTATTTGAGAGGAAACGTAATAAAGATATCATTGGCTTTCAAAAAATAATTTCACGTATTGTTATCGTGTATTATTGTTTATAATAAGTAGCAAGTTATATTAGCCTTTTTTAGTACTGTATTATAAACATCTAGCAGCAATGTACATATTAAATAGTCTATATAGAGAATTGCTCAAATAACAAGAATAATTGTGTTTCTTTTTAGAGCCAAATTATGAGATTCCACTTTGCAGTGTTTCACGAAAAACACGGCACAAAAAGCGGTTGAGAGGAAGACTAATCTTTGAACTCTTCTTGCTTTAATTTTGTTGAAAATTGTCGCAAGAAAAGGTATTTTTTAATCGATTTTGTTTATATTTTACATAACTTATTGAGATTCAATACATTGGCAATTGACTAGTTTAATGTCACTTTTTACCACCTTCTTTTCAGCGCTTTAGTGCTTAAATTTCCTGATGCATGGCCTTCAAAGTTCTTAAATTTTGCTTCTCCTGGCTTGTACTAACCGCGGTCTAGCTCATTTGCATTAGGTGGATTTGCTCCGAGTCTCGAGCTTCATTCTTAATAGGGTGTTCTGAGATCGGCTAACAAAAAATGTGAAACCAAGAATGCAGAATTGACAGCCAATATAGCTATGGAAGTTGTAAACAGCTAATTCTAGTTTAATCAAGCTATCAATTCATAAAACCATAGTATTATTCATTTAGTATAATTTTAGTCAATTTACTCGATTCTGAATCGGGTTACAAACTGTGCCGATTAAACATTAATCGCACATGACCTGGTGTGTCGATTAAAGATTAATCGGCATGCATGTACGAATTCTGATAAGAACCCACATAAATACTGCTCGATAGTGTGTGAGTGCAGCAAAGTACACAACAGTTATGAACAACGTAAAATTTGTATATTCTGTGCTCTTTTCTACACTGAGCCCTTATTATTAAAGAAAACTGAGATAAAATGATAATTATTCATTGTTTTTATAAGGTTGACTAAATTAATGTCAGAAATTGCGCATAAAATTGATCACAATGGGTGGTACTGCTATGCTCACATGAATAGTGTAGCTATTTCTAGAATACAATTAATGTTTCTTGCAAAATTGTATACTTGGGAAAAATTTACTGAAATGATATTAATACGGGAAATTACTTTTGTTCTCAAAGTAGGCCTAACAATGAAAAATCGCTGTTGCGTTTGGCGAAATATTTACTGAAATATTGCGCACTTGCAGTATTATAAATATTTTGACAAAAACGCATGCGATTTTTCATGAGTAGTTCTTGAACCGTGCAACTTTTTCTAAACAAAGCGAGGTTTAGGAACTTTGCAGACTGAGCAGAAAAGAGACAGTAGCCAGGAACTGAAACTGACGTTCAATCACACCATTTTTGGACTCGGGTTCTCCCTCCAGGTATATGTGGAGCCCACTGACAAAAACACCAATGATCAGTGTTTGTACTTTTTTCCTTAAAGAATTTATCCTTCAATTCAGGCATTAAAATAGCGTGTCCTTGTACACACTTTGTGTCCTTGTAAAAGGCGAATGTGCCCTTATAAATTGTAAATTGAAAAGTGTGTACTTGAAAATATATTAAACTGAAAATATATTAATGTAATCCACGCAAAATGGCCAAAGATTTTGCGAGTTCTGTTCTCAGATCTCTGGAAATGCCATTTCAGAGACCCCCTTAAAAGCTCACGTCTTCGACGTTAAACTTGTGGCTTCGCCACTCGTTCTCGTGAGTCTGCGCATTTATACCAAAAATACGCCTCTGAAGGCAAAGTGTGTCCTTGTAAAAATTCCGTATTTTAATGCCTGCTTCAGTTGTATAGCGTTGCATTGCTATATAATAAACCAATCAGAGAACCTGTCCATATAGCTTCGTGATAAACCTCAAATTATTAAGATTTTAGATATAACTAATTTAATTGATTGTTTGATTAAGCCTTTATTTATATATAATAACACAGAATAGTGCAAAAACAGTCGCGTGCACTTCGCAAAACATTGGGTGCTGTTAAATCTCAATTTATAGCCTACCAACGCTTTATTACATAGTTATTCAGCTATACAGCTTTATTACACAGTTATTCAGCTCTCATTGAAAGGCTTTCAAAAAATTATTTCACATATTAATGTTATCTTGTATTATCCTTTGTAATAAGTGGCAAGTTATATTAGTTTTTTTAGTACTGTATTATTGATTTCTATCAATGTACATACTAAATATCATAAATAGCCTATATATATCGATTAATTTTTGTCGCGCACTTTTGACACGAGCCTCTAACTCGGATGAATGGGCAACCATCTCCTGTGCTCACGACTATGCTTTTCCAAACGTGACAATAATATCAAGTCGTTAGTGTTACATATCAAGTCATTCGTGTTATATATCAAGTCATTAGTGTTATATATCAAGTCGTTCATGTTTTATATCAAGTCTTCGTGTTTTATATCAAGTCTTCGTGTTTTATATCAAGTCGTTCATGTTATATATCAAGTCGTTCATGTTTTATATCAAGTCTTCGTGTTCTATATCAAGTTCTTCGTTTTATATGTCAAGTCGTTTGTGTTTGTATCAAGTCGTTAGTGTTTTATATCAAGTCGTTTCGTGCGTGCATGTCAAGATGTCAACTTCTTTACATCAAGTTTTACGTTCGTGTTATACATCAAGAAAGGAGAAGATAGTTTTTGATCGGCACTATTTTCACTCGAGGTCAGCGCTATTTCGGATCTGTCAGAGTAGAAAACATATTCAAAATGGCTGCGCGAAATCGGTTATATATTCCCAACCTTGAAGAATTCTTTAATGATTCTTTTCAGCTAATCCAGCAATGTAGTAACTGTATACAGGAAAATAATAACGGTAGATTGGCAGAATTTCTTGGTATAGGCGCCTAGAAGAATATCAACGTTCGCTGCGCGTGATGTACGACAGACTCCGGGATTTTCGCTACAACACACCTGATCTTCTGAATGACTTCGAACAAATACTGGACGTTGTTAGTCGTATATTAAAGGGAACTTGGAATTACTTTATAGCGATGATTTTGGCGACGAGTTCCCAGAGAATAATGCACTTTGTACGACGATAAATCATGGCCTTGTTGGATGACCTCGCTATGAACTCACTCAAGATCAGATACAAATTTTAAGAGGCGAGTTGGGATTTAGATGGGTAGACATTGCTGCAATATTGGGAATATCATCCTGAATCCTGAACCGTCGTCGTCACGAGTTAGGTATGTCAGTCGGACAAGTCTGTGTAGAATTTTTATAACACGCCGTCTTTGCTGACAAGGCTAAGGCCTAACTGTGGTGTCAATAGAGAGGTTAAGATACCCCGGTTCCGTTTTACGGGTACAAGTATCGCCATTTTGTTCAGCAATTTTTGCTGATGTCAGCATTTTTACCCGTAATTTCTACCCGTTTCCCCGCGGTAAACCAAAGTCTACACGCAAAAGACAAACAGGTACGGGTGTTGTCTGTTTACTATATGTGGGCCGTTTAAATAGTAAAAATTTTCAACATCTTACCTAAATAAATAATGCACATATGCTCGTCAAAGTTTTCAACAATTTATGGCGAACCTCAATAGCGAAAGTTACCATTCTCTGATCGGTTTTCACACGCCGGAATATCTTGGATTTCTTAAGTTACAAGTCGTTCCCCGATTTACGGGTACGTGCATGTATATCACCCGTACCCGTAAACCAGAACCGGGGTATTTTCAACCTCCCTATTATTAATATTTCACTAACAACCCTGTCGGGTTCTTCAGTACTTATATTTGAGAAGTTGTAATCTTGTCCGACTTACATATCAAATGCGTGACGACGACGGTTCAAGATTCTGGACGATATTCCCAATATTGTAGCAATGTCTACCCATCTAAATCCCAACTCGACTCTTAAAATTTGTCTCTGATCTTCAGGTGAGTACATCAGTAGCGACTTTTTAGCGAGGTCATCCAACAAGGCCATGATTTACCGTCGTACAAAGTGCATTATTTTCTGGACTCGTCGCCAAAATCATCGCTATAAAGTAATTCCAAGTTCCCTTTAATATACGACTAACAACGTCCAGTATTTGTTCGAAGTCATTCAGAAGATCAGGTGTGTTGTTGCGAAAATCCCGGAGTCTGCCGTACATCACGCGCAGCGAACGTTGATATTCCTCTAGGCGCCTACCAAGAAATTCTGCCAATCTACCGTTACTATTTTCCTGTATACAGTTACTACATTGCTGGATTAGCTGAAAAAAATCGTTAAAGAATTCTTCAAGGTTAGGAATATATAACCGATTTCGCGCAGCCATTTTGAATATGTTTTCATGCTGATCAAAAAACTAGGTACTCTGACAGATCCGAAATAGCGCTGACCTCGAGTGAAAATAGTGCCGATCAAAAACTATCTTCTCCTTTCTTGATGTATAACACGAACGTAAAACTTGATGTAAACAAGCTGACATCTTGACATGCACGCACGAAACGACTTGATATAAAACACGAACGACTTGATACAAACACAAACGACTTGACATATAACACGAAGAACTTG